TATTCTTAGTGCCTCAATTTTAATGAAACTTATATATTATTAAAGACATTGAGTTTCATTTTTAGTAGGGTTGAGCAAGAGTCCCCTGTTAGAAATAAATTGCTGCAAATATACTATATTAAAGGTCAACTTTCTTTTTTTCTATTGGTTGAATTTTTTTATTCCACTATTTTGTGTTTTGTTTTAGGTGTGGTCTAGTTTATAGCACAGAATAAGTTTACACGAGTGTTTTTCTTCCAAATGTGGCTTGAATATTGTCTACAGGTTTGAGAAACCACAGTTGCAAAATCTATTCAACCACAATGTTCCCCATACCATACTAGAGAATGTACCCACAAACATTTTCATCAAAACAACAACAACAACAAGCTGAAGCACAGATGAGAACCCATCTCACATTATTTTCAGATGCTTTTCTAAGGTCCAGATCTCAGCAGTCATGTAACAGAATTCACAGTAGTATGATACTTTCATTTTAATTTACCTTGCCTTTGTATTAATGGAATACATCATGCTGTGGTCTGTTATGTGAATAAACATTGTATTCTAAAGGTGAATGAGTGCAGAAGTACATAATACAACATTTTATAAATTTGGAAGGACACTAACCTGACCCCAAGCTATAGAACAGTTCTGAGCCTGAAACTGAAACAATACTGGACATCCAAACTACTGACCTCATAAAAGGCCAGAATCCCACTTTCTTGTGTGTAGGGGCCTTTAGGGCCTGGGCTTGAGGCTGGGGCACCAATTCCATTGATACTGGAGTCAGTCAAAGAGAAAGTCTGTGCATATGTTGGGAATCCAACAATAAGTTTCTCAGATGCAGCCCCATTTGTCTTCCAGTAGTTCATGATGGAATCCTGAAACACAGATGGGAATCAATAGATCCAGCCAAATGCTGACCTGTTTTTATATATGTTAACTCTATGTTTCAATTGTACAGATTCTGTAATTAAAGACAGATTGATTCAAAGTTTTTCCAAAATATATCACTTAATTCATTGTTAATATTTTATGACCAGTAGTTTGAGAGGACTGCATATCCTGACTTTCTATTTATTATATATCACTTAATATCTCATCATTTAGATTTTCTCTAGCATGGTCTACCATATAACTTTTTAGGATCTTACCACATTGCAAAAGGTGTTAGTGTCAGTTGGGTGTTTGTAGAGGGGACTGTTTTCTCCAGTGACTCTCTCTTTATTGTCATGAATATTATAAGTCATCACAAGGAAGTAGTCCAAGAACCTTGAAAGGAAGAAACCCTTAAATCGTTTCTGATGGATATTTCTCACATTTATTCAGGAAAATGATATAATTTCCAAGACCTGTATACAAAGTACTAAAGCAACAACTCCCTCTAAGAATTAGTATTCTTTTCCTGAATTCCAAGAAACAGTAAAGAGTATGAGGGACCACTTACTGTGACAGCTGTGGGACCTCATAGGCAGAATCAATGGTAGAAATTATACCAGCTACTGTAGCAGTGACCATCAGCCTTGGCTTGCTGCTTTGTATGGATTCCTGTTGAAAAGCTTCATACATTTCCTACAAAATATTTATATATACTTCACATTCAATTTTCCTATTCAACCTAACGTGTGTGTGTGTGTGTGTTTATGTATGTATACATATATGGGTATGTATATATATGTATATACATATATTTGTATAATTGTTAAATGTTATTTACATTTTATTTCATCTTATTATGATGCCTTTATCAATCAACTCATTAAACATTTTGACATTTCTTTTGTTGTTGTTGTTTTGGTTTTTTGTTTGTTTGTTTGTTTGTTTGTTTTTCAAGACATGGTTTCTCTATAGCCCTGGCTGTCCTGGAACTCACTTTGTAGACCAGGCTGGCCTCAAACTCAGAAATCTGCCTGCCTCTGCCTCCCAAGCTCTGGGATTAAAGGCATGCACCACCACTGCCCATCTGACATATTTCTAATAAGCACTGATATAAATATAACTATGCACTACCTAAATTTTTTACCTAGTCATCCAAAATCGAGCTCACAACTTTCTGTTCAGAGGTTCACTAACCATCACCACACAGAGAAGATTTGTTAGCAGGCTTTCCCTACAGCAAGTTTTTCATTGTGAAAACTAATGCTTTCTCAGTACCTAAAGAATGTCATGAGACCAAGATTTGACAGAAAGAAATGTAGAGTTAGAGTAATCCAATGAGGAAGTTAGTAAGGACTGGATAACAAGTATAATTCCATTCCAGAAGAAAGTCAGAAGTTGTAAGGTCAGCTTTAATAAACGATTAATTGAGTATGATGCAAATCCTTTTCTAAGAGAATGCCCAGAGTCATTATCATATACTCCGAATCAAGATACAGGCTAAGGATACCTTTTAGATAGGGTATGTGAAGATAAGTTGTGGTTCCTCTTTTAAAGCACATACAGTAATATACACATGTAGATGACTGCAGTAATGCATGGCAATATCTAAGGATCTTGGTGATCCTCAAACTCTAAACTCTTGTTAGACTTCGCTCAGAAACACTACTTAGAAATAACATACTTGTGTCTTCTCAAGTT